GTGGGGAGCTGGGGTGGGCAGCTGCATTGTTCACCCTATGAGCCCTCCCTTCCTTCTCACGGAAGCCCTCCCTCCTCTCTGTGCCTCCTTCTGTGGCTCAGACTGCTCCTGCCTTTCTTCACCCCGTGCTGGCCTCCCATTGTATTCCGTGTTCCTCTCTCTCAGGCCAGTTTGGAGAAGCCCCTGTCGTGTGCCGGCCACTCTGCCAGTCTCATGAATTCTCCCTGCAACACACTGTTACCCACCTTTTCTCTCTCTCATTCATTCACTCAACAAACATTTATGAAATGCCTAGCATATACCAAACACATGGGGTATAGTAAAAAAAAAAAGGACAGAGAACCCTTATGAAACTTATATTCTACTATAAGGGGAACCAGACAATAAATAATAAGCATAGATTATAAACTGTATATTAATTTAGAAAATGCTAATTGCTTTAGAAAAATTCAGAGCAGGGTATGGGGTCCAAGAAGTGGCAGGGAAGAGGAGCGCTTGTTAAAACGGTGGGCAGGAAGGGTCTTGTCGCCTAAGGTGACATCTGAGCAGAGACTTGAAGGAAGTGAGAGATGGATGTCAGTATCTGGGCAGACAGCAATGCCCCTGAGACAGAGGCCCCAAGGTGGGATGGCACCTGGCAGGTGCCCAGCAGGTGTAAGGAACAGGAGGGAGGAAACCAGCAGGACAGTGTCAGGGGAGGAGTCTGGGAGGTCACGAGGTGCTTGTGAGCTACGGCCCGGCCTTTGTTCTTTACTCTGAGTGAGCCGGGGGTGCCTCAGAGGGTTCTGGACTGGATGTGATCCAGGTTATTTAAAGGATCACTCTGGCTGCTGCCTGGTGGAAGGCTGTGGGGAAGTAAGTCTGGAAACAGGTTGCTGTTTTAGGAAATGGAGGTTCAAAGCATCTTGCTCCAGGGTTGCACTGTTTGTGGCTGTTGGACCCAGACTGGAATCCAGATCCAACACCAGAGACCATACTCTTTGTCCTCACCAGCCTCCTCTACCTGGTGGTTGAGGCCCCAAGGAGCTGGCCTCCCTTGCCCAGGTTCTGAGGGAGAGTAGGATGGCCCTGGGGTGTAACCCACTGTCCCTTCCCTCTGATGGTCTCTGAGGCTGTGAATGAGGGAGGTCTCATCTCCCCGGGGAACCTGCCCCAGGCCAGCATGGAGGTGTGGGAGGTTTGAGGTCCCAGAAGCCGGGCCCAGCTTGGGCACCAGGGAAGTCTGGGCATGCTGGGGCCATGGCTGTGGTGGCGGGTTGCTAGGCGACTCTGAGAGGGAGCCCTGGTTACTGCTGCCTGGCAGAGGCGTCTCCCTCTGCTGCCTCCCTCACCTCCTCCGTGGCCTCTGGCCTCCCAGGAGGCCTTGTGGGTGAGATGAGATCGGTGCTTGCCACTGGATCTTGGCCGGGAGCTCTGATGGGTACCAGGTGGCTGGGCCCTGAGGAGCCAGAAAGCTGCAGGGCCTGGGCTTCCCTCCTGGGGCACAGCCCTGATGCACACCTGGTAAAGAGCCTAGCTCAGCAGACTGCAGCTGAGGTCCTCACCCAGCCCTGGGCCACCTCCCTGGGTAAGCCTGGGCAAGGCGTGGCACCCTTCTAGGCCTCAACTGCCCCATCCATCTGGCCTGCAGGATCTCTCCCCAAAATCTTTGTTTTCTGTGAGTGTGCAAGGGAGGATGCTGAGAGGGCAGGGCTCCAGGTACCCCCGTCCCCACCCCTGATGGCTTGAGTGTGGAACACTCAAGTTTTGCATTAGGCTCCACTTACTAAAAAGAACTCCACTACTTGGAAAGATATAAAAAGTTTGAAAACCTCTGGACTGGATGATTAGAAGAACTTTTCATTGTCAAACTGAAAAGGTGCCTAGAGCACCAGTGGCCCATCTCATTAATTTATGAGGGGGAAACTGAGGCCCGGAGAGGAGGAGGGACCAGCCCCAGGTCAGGCCTGCTGGAATAGAAGGACCACTATGCTGGGGGGTCAGGAGGCCTGGGCTCAACCCCAGCTCTGCCACCAGGTCCTGGGCGACCCAGGGGGAGTCCTTTCTTCTTTCTGGGTCTGACCAGCCATAGGCTAGGGCTCAGACTCTGTCCCTGGCTGGACAGGAAACAGGGTGGGGAAGGATGCAGACCTTCATATGCCTGGAGCATGTGTTCTTGGTGGTAATCTAAAACCTTTTTATTGATAGTCAGAAAAGGTGGAAATATTATGAAGCACAAGGCAAAATACTCTTGAATTCTAAAAAGGAAGCACCAGAGTTGTAGGGAATTTTGACCTTTTAACATGCCCCCTGGCTTCCCATGCTACCAGCTTCTAGGGTTGGTTACATCATGGAAAGTTTGAGAAGCACTGGAGGACTGGTTTCCTAAGATCCTTTGGCAGTTCTCTGACCTGTTCTCTCTCCATGGTGGAATGTGAGGTCCTTTAGACTGAGAGTGAGACTAACCTGAAATCAGTGCCTGGCTCTCCCACTTAAACTATGTGACCATGACAACCTACTTACCCTCTCTGAGCCTCACTGGCCTCATCCTGAGATAGGGATCACAAGCCCTGAGCTGCATGGAGAGTGACAGGATGATCACGTGAGATAAAGTACTTGTAGTACGCAGGGCTGAACTGGCAGGTACTCAGGAGGTGCCAATACTTGACGTTGCCCTTCCTCCCCTCCATCCCCCACCCCCAGCACTCAGAACCAGGCTGGCGCATAGTGAAGTTGATAAAGAGGTGTTGCCTCACTGACCTCCAGCTGGAGAAGCTGGAAGGTGGAGCCTCTGGTAGGGCAGCTAGTCCCATAGGGGAAGAGAATGAAGGCCTCTGAGGCCCCAGAACACAGGTGTGGGGGAGGGCCTGGGGAGCCAGGTGCAGGGGCAGGAGCAGAAAAGGGGGTATCTACTCCAGGGAGCACCACTCCTGCGGGGTTCCGGCTCCTCTCCCCTCAGAGCCCCAGGAGAAGCTAGGCAGGCCAATTCTGGAAGGGGACTTGGAGCCCCAGCTGTTGTCTCCCAAGACCAGAAAGTGCCAGAGATAGGGAGCCTGGGGCCCTGAAGAGTCAGATGAGTACCTGGATCTAGAGGTGAGGGGTGGGAGGGTACCCTGGGCAGCAGGAAGGACCCCTCCTTCTGGAGACTAGTGGGAAGAGGACAGGAGAGAGAGCCCTCGAGGATCGAGGATCGGGGTCGGGGGTGGTTCTGGGGCTGGGTGGATGAACAAGTTAAGAGCAGGTCTGTGATCTGGGCAGATCTGGAGTGGTACCTGGTACTGCTGCCTGTGGGACCGTGGGCAAGTTACATCATGCCTCTGGACCTCCATTCCCTGGTACAGGAGATGGGATAATGCCAGCTCCCCAGAGTTGTTCATGCCAAGCACAGTACACTCAGGGCCTGATATAAAGGAAGTAGAATGGAGCAGGTCTGTTGGGTAATCTAAAAAGCGAGGTCTTCTGGCCAGAGTGAGGGGTTTAACCAACATTAAGAGCATCCGGTGTGTTCACCAAACACTTACCCACACACATTATCTCAGGTAGTGATCTAACAGCCTTCTGAGGCAGTTAGTGAATGTTGCCCATTTTTCCTGAGTAGCTCACTGAGGCATAAGGCTCCTGGAGATTGAGTCAACAACCTATGGCCACATAACTAGGTGGCTGGAAAAAGCCAGGCATCCTGCCCAGCCTTGCAGATAACCCAAACCTCTGCTGTTTCCACAGCAGTGCCTCAGCCAGGAGGTCAAGGCCACCAGGAGGGAGGCCCCAGAGGTGGGGCGTGGTAGGCCCTACAGAAGTTCTGCTCCTCCAGGTTCCTGTGGGGAGCCAGGTCTGTGGGGCTACGGATTCCTCTGCCTTCCTCTGTCCCCAGGACAAGCCTGGCAAAAGCAGGCAGTGATATGGGAGCGCGGGCACAACAGACATTTAGAAGAGGATAAGTACAGGTGGGGCAAAGGTGAAGCCCAGGGAAAGTTCCAGGGACAGCAGAAGGGCTGTGTGGCCCTGGGCAAGCCACTTCACCTCTCTGAACCTTGGTCTGCTTGTCCATAAACGGGCATGATGCCACCTGCTTTGTGGGATTTTGTGAAGGTTCCACCAGGAAGGGGCTTTGAGGGCAGAGCTACTCTGCTTTAGGTGGGTCGGGTGGGGAGGGGAGGGAGGGCTGCAGTCCAAAGGGGAGCTGGGCTGACCTGAACGTGGGCAATGAGCACAGGTGGGGTCTGAGGTCTCCATGGCCAATGGATATGCTTTGAGGGGCTTGCTTAGATTCAAAGCCTCTGTGGAGTTCACAGAAGCTCAGAGAAGTTGGAGGAAAGTCTGGGCCTATACCCACCTTAGGGACCCCCAGCCTGTTCTGCTTTCCCTGGCCAGGCCCTCCTAACAAAGGGTTAACAGTCTTTTCTACCTGCAGTTGCATTTTAAAGACACGAAATTAAAGCAGGTAATTTATTCTCCCCACACACGAAAGAGCAATTAGTTCTAAACAGGGCTTAATCAGTCACCGCGAGATTGATTTCTGGAGCCCTGGGTTTTCGGGCTCCTGGCGCCATGCCAGGCTTGGGGGGGGGGGCGGACAAATGAGCCGCAGTGGTATGAGCCCTTACATAATCAGCTGGGGGACCCTGGCAGCCTGGCTAGCCCCGGGGCTTGGCTGAGTTGGAGAAGGGGTGTCTTGCTCCCTGCTGCAGGCCCCTTAAGAGTAGCCTCCCTGGAAATGCTACCCAAAGCTCCAGCCCCACCCTACGGACAGTACCTGTGGGAGGCACGGGAGCTGGGAGGGTGGGGCCGCCCTGGGGTAGAGGTTGGGTATTCTGAGTTTGTCCGACCTGGTACTTACACCTGCTCTCCCCCTTCCCCACCCCCGCCTTTACCCTTTCATCTTCCCTATTTCCTCCCCTTCCACCGTTGGCACTTCTCCCGTTCTCTTATCCTCTCACTTATCTGTTTTCTCCCACTCCTCTTCCCAACACTTATCCTCTCACTTCCCACTCCCCCACCCCTGTCCTTGTCTCTGGCCACAGAACTCCATCCGGCACAACCTGTCGCTGCACACCCGTTTCATCCGCGTGCAGAACGAGGGCACCGGCAAGAGCTCGTGGTGGATGCTGAACCCTGAGGGAGGAAAGACGGGCAAGACCCCGCGGCGCAGGGCAGTGTCCATGGACAACGGGGCCAAGTTCCTGCGTATCAAGGGCAAAGCAAGCAAGAAGAAGCAGCTGCAGGCACCCGAGCGAAGCCCCGATGACAGCCCCCCGGGCGCGCCAGCCCCGGGGCCCATGCCTGTGGCTGCCAAGTGGGCCACCAGCCCGGCCTCGCACGCCAGCGACGACTATGAGGCGTGGGCCGACTTCCGCGGCAGCGGCAGACCCCTGCTCGGGGAGG